AAAATACACTTTTTAGATACAGTGTTAAACCCTTCACTAGTTTTGTTTGAACTTTTTTTGTTATTACCATAGCAACGCCATTATGAAGGACGCCATCTTGAAATTTTTAAATTGTCAAAATTTCTAAATGCCTTAATCGATTTCAATAAATGAGGACTCATTTTAAAGAACTATTAATAAAATTTGTATTTATGATATGGGAATAAAAATATTCTTTTCCTGTGCGACGGTAGACGACGCTAATTAGAAAAGTTTTGTAATTGTCTCCGTTTACTAAAAAAATTAAATGCAATTATATAGTTTTTTTCCATGGCTTGATGCACCATTTATTAAGGAAAACAAATACATAAACCGGAGGTCGATAGCTTTTTTCGTTTTCAAGTTTTTGGTAAAACGGTGAAGTTGTGGTAGAACATCCTCCTTTATTTAGATCTCTAAATAACATTGACAAAGTCCAAGCCAAAATTAAATTGCAAAACTATACGAAGTTTGACCTTAAAAAGTAGTTGCTTTATTTTGAAATATTTTTAATATGTACAATTTTTAATTTTTTTATTAATTCCAAATATCTGCGTATTTATAAAGATTATTGTTTCCATAACGAGGCAGGCTATGCTCTATGAAAATAGACAACTGAAAAATTATGCCAAACGAAATGTGACAGCTCTAGCTACGTGCAAAATTAGTGTTGTTTGTGTTGGAAAAAGACGGTTACTTCTGTGTGTTCAAGAATAAATAAATCGCATATTACCTTGACAAGAAAATCACACTTTATAGTTTTTCTTCTAGGTTTGTAAATTTCCACTTATTATAGTAATTGCTTAATTATTACTGACATTTACAATTACATAGACACATTATCTTAGCAATGTCATAAAAATGTCATTAATGTAATAATTTATGTCCATAACACCTTTCATTATTTGTTATTTATTTCTCATATTAATAACACTCTCTAGAAAATTAAATAAAATTTGGGACACGTGGTGTTAATGGGATGCGATAAGCTCCATTTTCAATTGAAAGTATTATCTTTGGGATGTAACAGAAATGACTAATGACGTCATTAATTATATTTTTTCCAGAAACATACCCAAACTTTTTTCTTGTTAAAAAGCTCTCTATTTTCTAATAAACCTTTATTAGATAAATTTTTCTGTATTACTTCCCGTTGAAAAGTTATAAACAATATCGTCCTAAAGAGTCTCAAAAGAAATACCACTTAAAAATCATATTAGCGGTGGAAGGATCAAGTAGGCGTTGGAAAATAATTGAATGTTCGTTGTTTAAAGTGCATAAATGTCAATAAGGATAAATAAAAGGATTAAACTCGATAAGGAGTTTAATGAGTTTATGAAAATAGAAACTATACATAGCGTTTCAAAGATACGAACCAAACTTATGTATATATGTCGTGGGTTTACTTAACAATTTGATCAATATTCTGCTTTGAAAGACTGAATCTCGCAATGGACAATATAAAAATTACTGTGGACAATAAAATTATATTAGACATTTATGCTCTATTTTAATAAGTAGTCATAAAAGAAACTTAAGCGTTTATTAACGAAAACATAAATTATACATTTTCAATAATATTGCTAATGTGCAAGACAAAGATTATACCTTTTAATTAAAATTCTCTGAAAATTATTGACATTTTAACATTAAGGCGATGTTCCGCATTGTATTAGCTATGTCCTGTCCAAATTTGGTTAGTGCATCTATCTGGGTTTCAAAAATTCAATACCTATGTATGTTTTTAGCCACGAAAATTGAATAATTCTAAATATTTGGAATTTTCACCACCAAAAACGGCGGTGACAGCATTTTTAACATTAAGCTGATGTTTCGCATTGTATTAGCTAAGTCCTGTCCAAATTTGGTTAGTGCAACTCTCTCGCTTTCGAAAATATAATACCTATGTATGTTTTCAGCCACGAAAATTGGATAATTCCTAATATTTCGAATTTTCACCACCAAGAACGGTGGTGACAACATTTTTAATAGAAAGGGGATGTTTCACATAGTATTAGTTTGAAATGAAACTGTTTTTGAACATTACAAAGAATGATTCTTACTTAAGGCTACTATGCGCTAATAATTACTCAAATTATAGCAAATACGTCATTTCACGCGTCACTAATTATATAGAAAGTAGTAATTATTGATTATAGAAATAATAACTGAGACGTATCAATTTAATACTTCAATATACTATAATTTTTATATAATTTATTTGCTTACGCATTTCTAAAGTCAAAGCAATCAAAACTATTATTAATAGTTTATATGTAATAAACATGATCGCAATAACTTTTTTTTGCTTTGCTTTGTTGTTTTATTCACTTTTACGAAATATCGATCGTTACATTCTTAGTTTATATGACCAACATGACCAATTGCAACCATAATAAGACATTGTTTATGTGTAATATGGTGGTTTTATAGACCAAAAGGTCTTCGAACCTCAACTGATTGAAAACTTTATTCAGGCAAAAGGATTTATGAAACATTTAAAAATTGCACTAACCCCAAAGCTACAATAAAACCAAAGGCTTGGAATGGATAGAGAAAACGAATGCTGATCTGGATGGACCAATTATTATGTTAAAACTGACTAAACTTGTAAAGGTTCCCGGAAGACGACCCCGACAGATTGGCGCCAAGGACCAGGTACTTCTGCGAGCGACTCGACCAAGAGGGACTCTCCAGCAAACACTCAGACCGAAAACAGTTCTTTTTTCACAAGCTTAGTTTTCAATAAAAATACTTTATTTGTACCGTTGAGAGAGCGTTTTATTTTTGCTGTACAGCGAAAGCAACCCTCAACATGTTATGTCTGCCACAATAATCTTTAACGCTATTCATTTTCAACAAGTTCGGTGTCTACAATTGTTTTAGAATTTTGGGACACCTGACAGTTACTAGTTTCAAATTCAATTCAAGTGTAATACATTTTTTTTTGTAGAAGTCTCAGTTTTCTTCGCATTAAACATCATCAAAGTTAAAGAAAGTTGTTATGTATTTCTACTATATTGACAGTAATTTTGAGGATTGCCGTCTTGAGTTTCCAGGTTGCTTCATTATTTGACAAAGTGGGTGGCTTTTTGACAAAGAATGTCCCATGTATTGCCAATAATTTCTTTGAAAATTAAATGAAATGCTCATTCCAATATATATATAAAAAAATTGAATGACTGCTTGTGCTGACCTATTAATAATTAAAATCTTTATAGATTACACTTTCTTTCATTATAAATTTTCATTTCTAGCACATCAAGCAAAACGTAAACAAGTATTTATATAATAATATTAATTAACTACTATTATATAAGTACATACTTGCACTATTATTACAAAAACTATGATTAAAAATTGAAGCTTTCGAATATACTGCAGTAAGAAGTGTGCCTGGATATTCAGAGCGTTCATAAAAATAACGAGCACTTACACTTTATTGTCAATACGCCCCCCAAAAACCGCAATATCCACAATTTTTTAAATGAAAACGTATAAGTAATATATGTTAATCTCTGCTGGTCCTTCAAGCTACTATCTTTTTGAAAATATGAATAATAAACCTGTTATCTAAATTAATTTCAAAGAAATCGTGTTAGACCAAGGTACATAAACAAGTTTAAGTAAAATGAAAAATTTGCATTTTAAGATTTAACACCAGCATTATATTTTTATGAAAACGAATAAATGTTTCTAAAAGCAACAAGTTTTTTAAAAGAATAAATCGTGATAGAACTAGAATGTACATTCACATTTGAAAAGATCAGTTAAGTATTTTGTGAAAACTAATCAATCCTATGACAATCATGAAAATGATAACTTTCTTTCAGTAGATATTCAAATCATAAACGTTATACAGCTACAGACAAACCCATTCTTATAGATGTAAAAAAAGTTGTAGCTTGTAAAAAATATGGCAAGATGAATAGATCAACACAAAAGATAAGATTCTTTGAAAAAACACAATGGAAGGACGATCATATTCATACTGGTATACTAATAATTAATTGTATTAAATAAATTTGACGATGTAGAATGCGAGTTAGGAACAAATAGGTAATCTCAAAATGAATTTTGAGAAGTTTTCTGCTATAACTTTTTGTAAGGATAGAAATAAGATAAAACGCAAATTTTCCAGACCTGAACCGAACCACACATCAGGCCACCCTGCGGATCTAGCGTTGAGAGAGTTCGAACGTCAGCTTGAGGACCAGCTATTTAATAACCAGTGTTCGGAATCAAGTAGTACTCAAGTACTCAAAGTACGCTTCCAATTTTCTTGTGCTTTTATATATACAGATAACTGCTTTAATTTATTGTTATTAAATACATATTACTCAATAAATTTCGCAATTTAAAAATAAATCGAGTTATATTTCTCTGCCATTGCTCTTAAAGCAACCCACCCAAGCTCGTCCTACTTGCAGTGAAGATCCTTAGAGATATACAGGCTCTCTAAGGATGTGGGCCTCCTTCCGCATTCATAAACTCTAGTGCCTTAGTCTAGCGCCACAAAAAATAGTGATAAAGAGACACTAGAGTGCGATAACGCAGGGAGAGCGACAGCATCGACGTCATCTATCCCAAACGTCCGTTGTGGTAGAAGTAAAAAGGATTGTTTTACTTTCAATATCCTTAAAATTTTCATATATTTTAATTAAAATATCTAGAAAGGATAATGTACTATTATTTTCTATTTCTAAAGTAAATTTTTTTAACTTAAACAAATTGACATTCTTACTACCAACATCATAAACGACAATTTTGCTTCAGTGCGAAGACAACTAAATTCCAAAATAAGTAACTGAGACAGTTATAGAAATGATTCCATTTGTCTCTCATTAACAACTATTTCCATCAGACGGCTGCTTTCCTAATTGCGAGCAAGGAAATTTCCTTAACTAGGGCAACACATATGGATATGAGTAACTTACTCTTATGCGGGCAACAACACCGATATGCATATAGTTGGCCAGAAACGCTTGACCAGTTAGCAATACTTTCCTTGCAGAACCTGTGCGTAAGGTGGGGATCTCGAGACGGTCGTGGTGGTGTGCAAGCAATTTTCCGCCGCTGTTGGTTTAGTCGTCTTGTGAAATATCGGGTCTCCGTCTGTGCGGTTTACTTAGATCACGCTTTTCGCACGAGGTGTGAGCGAGTTTGTAGTTCGTTGGTTAACCGGTGCCTGTGACAGGTCAGTAATCACTAATACATATTTTCAGACATTTTAGAGAATAATTTCTTGGAAGTGCAATTTTCTATTACCTCACAACATAGTTCAGTGAATCGTTCATTGCTATCGTTTCGCAAAATGTATTTTTTTTTTTTTCAGTTTCATGAATTTACTAAGATCTTTGATATATTTAAATACTATACAGCGGCCTTTTGGATGTACAGGGTGTCCCAAAAATCTGTTTAGATGGCGTGAATAGGGACTCGCTCAGGTCCGTTTTGCACTTTTTTTCAAAATTCGGAAAATAAAAAAAAATCGTCATTAACTTTTTTCCACGAACATACTCATTTTTTATGATAACTAATTATCTATTTTTTTTAACATTTTTTGTCCAGAAATTTTTTCTCTATCTCTTCTTAAAAAGTTACAACGACAGTTACAATAACAAACATTGTACATACAGTGTAGGAAAGTACCGATGGTCTATCAGAAGTTACGTGAGAGCGATAAAGTAAGCCATAGAAATCCATGTGATAGACAAGGATGGCTATAATGAAGGCGTCTGATAGTCACATGGATTTCTATGGCTTACTTTATCGCTCTCACGTAACTTCTGATAGACCATCGGTACTTTCCTACACTGTATAAGTATGTATTCTATTGTATTGGAACTAGTCATGACTTAATCAACATTACTGTGAAAAACGATCGCTGTAACTCCTGTCACAAATTTGTTTACATATTAGTTGCTATGTTCTTTTTAAAAAAGGTGACTCCACGAAGAAAAATAGAACAATACACATAATGACGGCTAAATAGGATAACCAAATATAAAAAATATTAAACAATTTTAATTGTAACTAATAAATATAACAATAACTAATAACAAAACACAAAACAAAATATAAAATTATGATTATTACTTTAAAAAATGTTCGATATGCATGCCTCTTACTTCTAAGCATGTATCCAATTTTTTCCTAACATCCCTTATAGCTTTAAACAACGTTTCTCTTGAAAGATTCTCACAAACATGTCGAATCTTTTGCTTTAAATGCACCAAACTTCTCGTGGGTGTCTTATATACTTGATTTTTTAATTTTCCCCATAAAAAATAGTCTAGGGGCGTCCTTTTTTCCCTTTTCTTGATGAAAATGCATTTTCGTTAGCACGAAAAATTCGTTCTAATCTGGTAAATATTTTTGGGTTAACAGCTTGACGCTCTGGATATCTCCCATAATATAAGTTAGCAGCTCTACTGGCATTTTTTTTTGACATTCACCATAAATTAAAATCATGTCAACTTTTTCATTGTTTGTGAACATTTTTTAATTTTTAGCAACCACTTACTAGTTTGTTTATCATGCAAGAAATAGCATTTGACAAAAACTAATATGTAAACAGACTTGTGACAGCAGTTTCAGCCATTGTTTTCACAGCAATGTTGATTAATCATGACTAATTCCAATCATAAAAAATATATAATTTTAGTTATCATAAAAATGGGTATGTTCGTGGAAAAAAAAGTTGATGACAATTTTTTTTATTTTCCGAAAGAAAATCTGGCTGCGTAGGTTAATGAAAAACCCCATATTTAAAATTTTTATCAGTTAATAATGCAGAATACCTTTTTAAGTTTTTTTGGGTATTTTACCAATTAATTCACGCACCAAAAAATAATTCAAGGGTTATTTTATGAAACTATACCTAACCTAACCAATTTAGTTTAAAAAACCAATCTGTTATCGTTCTCACAACCGGAAATGACATTTGTTTTTCAAATTTGACAGTTTCAGCTCTGTTTGTTTATATGTCAAAATTAGATAAATCATATGATATTTATTCAAGTATTATTTACATCTTCTAAAATTTTGTCTACTTCTTTTGATATTGTAGACAGCCACAAGGATCCAATTTCTAAAGTATTTTTAAACTGTTAGGTACTTCATTTTAAAATTTTAAGTACGTATAAAAAAAAATGTTGTTGATTAAGGTCACATATGCAGATTTAAAGTAATTTTTGAAAAAATCGCTTTAAAAACGGAGTAGGCGATACAGTGCCAACTGGATAATCGTAACAAAATTCATTCAAATCATGCTACCCAAAAAAATTATTAAAGGTGTATCCTTGTTTATAGTGAACCACATTATATATAAAAAAAAAATCACTGGAATTGTGTTGAAAAAAAAAAGAGGTATGTCCTGATTTTTAGAGAGACACTGTATGTGATATTTTTCAAAAACTTTGTCACTTTGTATCTCCAATAACTATACATCGTAGGATTATTTATTTAATCTTTTAAGCTTAAATCACCCACAACGCCTATATTTACCAAAGATTTGTGTGTCAAAAATATTGTTCAGGTCAAAAAAATTGCAAACAAATTATTATTAACCGCCGTGAAACTGAAACGTGAATTCCACACAGTTATTGTTTTACAGTGTAAAAATCTCATGGAAGAAGGTACGATTCACTATTATTTTTAGTTTAATGCGTACTTTTATTCTTTCTACTTCTTTTCAACATGATTTACTTTTACCAGTAAAATTTGTGTTAATCTAAACACTGATATGATCTGATGAAAGCTTGGATGATTGTGTGTTTATATTTTCACGAGCTCAAGAGGTATTTCAGTATCAATACTAGTATCTGGACGTTCAACGAAGCTTTATATGAGCTGATGTTAATTTCAAATCGACACCTTATTTAAATACAATACACGTGTGTGACAATTGAAATGCGTAAACTAGGTACAATAGCATGTTAATCGTATTTTTATGTGTGCTGTGTACTAATAACCTTTCGTAGTATTATCGAAAATTTAAAATAAAACCGCATAGGCCCAAGACAACTACTTGTTATTTTATTATCGCGTGAATTTGCGCTTTGGAACGACAAATACGCAATTTGCATAAATTAAATTTCAAACAATCCCTTAATGCTTACTTAAGTGGTGAAATATTTCCTACAGCTCATATTTCAAATATTGACTGATTTAAAACAAGTTGTTCCCACACAAAATTTCCAAGTTATATAATTTTAATACACGTATGCTGACACTTACCAATTTAAATTTCCATTAGCGCAAACCTATACGATAATACTGTACTTAATACAATAGAAAGGGTACGAGGGTATTTGAAAAAGTAATAGCGAACTAACATGTCATAAAATGAATACTGGATACTTATGTAAAGTAAATGTTATTGTTGGTATTGTTACCTTTTATACATGGGTCATCGCAAAGCAGTTATCTCGACAACAGCCGGGTTATTCGTCAAAAATCAAGAGGGTATATGAAACAAATGAAAGTTACTGTTCTGTCAATAAAAAAACAAATAAATAGGTTACCGGGGGGTTACACTCCCCTTAACTTTAGGATTCCTTCCATACGTTTCCATTATATTAATTAGCAAATATGTATCATTCTTCATTAAACAAATGTATTCAAGCAAGCATACACATAATAATCAATCTTATTCGGACGCTGGCCAGGCGCCACTGTCACAAAGAACACCTTGTCTTAGTTTCGGTATCCCGGGCTACATTTTGGTACTCATAAATTACATTATCTCAAAAGCAAATAAACACTTGGCTGGCGTATTCCATGTGAACAGCTGAGGTTTGCTTCAAAGTAACTACAATAGTTTTCATTACGAAGTAAAATATATATAAAAATTAAAAATAAGCAAGTGTTAACACTTATCTGTGTGTTACCTATGTCGAGAAATATTTTTTACCGAGGATATCCTATTCCGATGATTCCTAACAATTGCGTTGGAAAACAGTCAAGCGACGTAACACATTTTGCAGGCCGGTGGGATAAACTCTTTCATAAAACATTTCACAAAATAAATAGCAAAAGTAAGCTGGACGGGAGCAGGACGAATTAGTTCTAAGTGGGATGACCTTTAATCTCGAAGAAATTGACCTTCTTGTTTAAGGAACCGGGATCGAATTTCACTTACACACCTACTATTTATGTACTAATCACTCAAGATTGTACACTGTAAAAAAATCGGCGTGAGTGAGGCAATAAAGGTTCGGAGTAAATCCATTGAGTGGAATTATTGGGTACATTTTCACTCAATATTGGCATTTTGATCATTTTACTCATTTGTGATTATATTTAAACTAAAACTGAGTACTTGCACTCAAATATCCTCAAATATACTCCTTAAATAAATTCTTCAAATAAACTCGTATTTGATCCACTTATACCTAAATCAGAGTAAATGTCCTCATTGCTGAGTGAATTTAAATGTATATTAATTTCGAATAATTTGAATGGCGCCGTGAAGATGGCACCACTTACATATTGCTTCTGTTATCTCGACCACAGTTGATAGGGGCGCGTTAGATGCTCCAGAAAAGCGTGATAGTCAGGAGACCAGGCCTTAGCCGGCGGCGGTGGGTCTCAGCTGGCGGGTCTCAGCCAGGACAGGAGGAGGCCCCGCGAAGAGAATTAATTTTAACAATGTATATCCTAATTTTGCACTCAATATTTAGTTAACTAAAAACCAAGTCTGAGTAAAAAATTACTCAATAATAGTTAAATTTAAATCATATTAGAGAAAAAGTCAACTCTAAATTGGTTTAATATACTCAGAATAGATAGTCAAAAGTCGCTCAATTGATAGTTAGCAGTAACTCGGATTTGAATAAAACTCACTCATTTCTGATGCAATAGTTTCACTCAGTTGTACTCATACTAATAAAGTGAAAATTTCACTCAACCGGGTGTAGACAGAAATTGATACATTATTGAGTAAAATTGAGTGAAATTTGAGTGAAATTTTTTTACAGTGTGAAACCTCCAAAATTTAAAAATCGTGAATAAATTTCATAAACAGTTTTCATTTGATTAAGGTCTTATGACAATATGACATATTGTGACATTAAATAAATTTACGCTACGAGCTTGGCAAGTCTAGCAAATACAGTATTCTACGCGACCAAGTTGATGACTAATGGACAAAAATCTGTAATCAAGGCTGTCTAGATTACCAAACAAGCTTGA